CTCTCTCCAGTAAGAAGGCCTCACTCAGGTTCTTCAACACCAGGTTACAGGGAGGTTCTCCTCTGGAAGATCTTCTCTGACAGACTGGACTCTCTCGTGTTGGTCTCTCTCTCCACCAGGTTACAGGGAGGTTCTCCTCTTGAAGATCTTCTCTTACAGACTGGACTCTCTCGTGATGGTCTCTCTCTCCACCAGGTCTGCAGACAGGCTTTACAGAAGCTGTGGCTACAGGACAGAACAACAGGATCTCTAAAGACTTCCTGACAGACCGGACAGCAGAGATCTTCCTCTGATCTGGAAGCCATGTTGTCTCTGAGTGAAGCTGAAACACAGCAGACAGGAAGTACAGTCAGTCATGGCTCCCCTCCCCCTCCTCTTCACTGAAATGCACTTTGTGTTGTTTTGAGTCAGACTCACCTTCAGGGGGGGGAGGGTCCGCAGGTTGAAGCAGCAGTGTTGTAGTTTCCACTTTTCTCTCCTGTAGCTGAACTCAGAGGAAGTTGTTAGTTTGGTCTGAAGGTGAATCTGATCGTCTGTATCAGTCCGTCTGTCTCTCTGCAGTGAGGGAGAAGAACAAACTGTTTCCTGGTTAGTCTCAGGTGAGTCAGGTGAGCTTCGTCACGCCTCCTCTGCTGACGCTGCTGCTTCACCTGTAACACACAGGTGTGTCTCATTCAACAAACTCCAGCCACTCCTCACCTGTAACTGGTTTAACTTCATTTTATCTCTACATGTCTACATATCTCGGGACATTTCAACCCTCCAGTAAATATTGTTCAGTTCAAATATAATGGAACTTTTATCTGTTGAGTGTTGCAGGACTTTACATTACATTACATTTAGCTGACGCTTTCATCCAAAGCGACTTACAATTACCATTTACAGGGACATCCTCCCTGGAGTAACTGAGGGCTAAGTGCCTTACTCAAGGGCGCACTAGTGGTGTTGTTCCAAGGCGGGATTTGAACTCACAACCTTCCGATCTTCAGCCCACCTCACTATCCATTAGACCACCACTACCCCAACCACTTTAAGATCCACAAAATAATAAACGTTGTTTTTTATGGATTTGCACATTTGCCTACATTTAAAAAGGATTGCTGTTAGTCACTTTAATGTTAACCCTTTATAGGGCACTATTAGGTTAACCATAACCCTAACCCGTTTCAGGCCTCTGCTGATTGGTCAAATTTCCCAATGGCGCGCTCTGTGGCGCAGATTGATCTTCGCTGATTGGCTGGGAGAAAACCACATGCTTCTCGACCTCACTGAGTCGCGGGGGGGACGCCATGTTTGGGTAACCCTAACCCAAATATGGTTCTTCGCCCGATAAAGGGTTAAAGTCAGCCACGTTTTGTATCTGCAGTGATGGAGACATTACAGTCAGGTGGACCCCCACATGTTCACCTCTTTTCTGGCGCAATGCTTTATGATGCGCCTTGAAGTTAACAAATGATGAATAAAACCAACATCGCATTGAACAATGATAATCATTTAATACATAAACACTTAATGCTCTCTGCGTAGCCTCAGGATTACAGACACCTAACTTTTTCCTCAATAATCACTGGCGTTAAAAATAAATACACAGCCAGGGAGCCCTCACAGTTAATCCACCCGGAAAATATTGTTCATACAATCAGGTTACCTGCAATCTAGTCTATCACCTAAAACCTTTAAAGCAGGTATTGCGTGATGTTCTGAGTCAGACTCACCTTCAGGGGGGGGAGGGTCCGCAGGTTGAAGCAGCAGTGTTGTAGTTTCCACTTTTCTCTCCTGTAGCTGAACTCAGAGGAAGTTGTTAGTTTGGTCTGAAGGTGAATCTGATCGTCTGTTTTTCAGTCCGTCTGTCTCTCTGCAGTGAGGGAGAAGAACAAACTGTTTCCTGGTTAGTCTCAGGTTAAGTTGTAGTCATTTGTTTTGGGCATGAAACAACATGAAACATGAAAAACAGGCTCGGTGCTTAAAATAAAACGTTTTACTTACAAAGCCCTCAACAACCTCCGTTTTCACTCTTGCCTTCAACTGCTAGTCCTCTAGTTCGTTACGGAAACTCCCCCCACTTTCACGTAAACAAACTAAATCTGGTACGCATATCTAAAGTGCGGAGACAAACCAAAAAGCCTGTTGGAGGTGTTGGCAATTTTTTATTTGGCGTTGAAAGCGCAATGTATCGCCCTCCCTATTTCAGAGATCTCCTCCGAGGTATTTTATCCGATCGACTCCAAATTCGGCGGGTAGCGTCTCGAGACCTGAGGGATGATAAGTCATCAAAAAATGTTTGGTTTCTACAGCTTTTAGTAAACGCTGCGCATGTTTCTCAAGTTGCTGAAGATGTTTCTTCATGTGGAACATTTGTGGTTTTATATCTGTATCCTTTCTGAAGCTGCAGCGTGTTTCTCCTGATGGAAGAGTTGTGGGTCGCTGTAGTGAGTTCCACCTGTCGGCCTCCCACCTGTCGGCCTCCCACCTGTCGGCCTCCCACCTGTCGGCCTCCCACCTGTCGGCCTCCCACCAAACACGCCAGCCAGAGCTATAAACACGCTGCACTGACACATGCGTAATAAATAATGCATGAATAAGATTCACTTCTTCACGTTTGGTGAAAATATTTGGCTCTATGCAAAATGAAACTACTAAATAACGTTGGGCAAAGCTTCCGGAAAAAAGCCCTGCAAACAGAAATGTGAGGTTTTAATGATAAATAAAAACCCAAATATTCAACAGAGAGGAGCAGGAGGGTTCAGAGGAACTCATATTCATAAAGAAGCTGCAGGCCTTCCTGCCATAGCAGTTATGTATGACCTGAGGAAATGTCTCTTTGTACTTTCAGCAGCACGATCTGTCCCCTCTTCTTCTGTCTGGAAACCACATTTCTATTTCTTACTCAGTATTTGCCTCCCTCTGCCTTTTTCTTCTCTAAATTAAATACCGACTTGAAAGCGACTCCTGGCCCACACCAAAGGCAGACGAGCCAAAGTAAATAAAGTGTGAGTCTTTGAGAGGACTCCCAGAGGTGCAGAGGGAACAACAGAGACAATGCAGGCAGGGCCAACAACAACAACAACAACAACCACACTGTTGGAAACGGGCTAAACTTGGCACTAACACCGTGGTGTAAAACCGTCCGGTCATGGTATGCACAACTTAATGTATAATAATTGTAACAAAACATGTCTCTGTAAACACACCGTTGACTGAAAAGGAGCAGGGAGAAGAAAAGAATCGTATATCACCTGCCCCTTTCTAAAAAGAAACTAAATAAATAGAAATAGATGGTCTGTCCTTCATATTTATTTTTCACAGCCAAACGTATTCACAGCCAAACATAACAGTATCTTAGGATAATAAGAGAAACACAAAACATCACGTGTACAAGGAAAAGGAAACACCCTCATCTGAGTCGTACTGGAGAAGAAGGTGGAAAGCGGCGCATCATAATAATAATAATAATAATAACTATCGTTACACATAAAGCAGTCCGTTTATTCAGACTGCATGCTCTTACTTTACAACACTTGTTAGGATACTCGCATGTTTTGTTCAGCAGGACGTCTAATGTTGATGACATTTAGTCGTCTCATTTAGACACTTGTTAGCAACCTCCATTTTAAAATCCAACAGTGGGTAATTTACTGATGTATGTCGTAGAAGAAAACGTCAAAATCTGTTCAGCTTGTGTTTACCACAGACCTCATTTCAGGATAACATCCAAAAACACATTCACATAAATGTTGACGAGGAAACCAAAAGTGGAAAAATGCTTAGTAATTCCTCCACCACTCTATTGTCTGACATGCATGAATCCCACACCGGTGGAAAGGTGAGACTGAGACCTATCCATCGACACCAGGACTCTAAAAACCTTCATGTAAATATATTTTCACATTTAGGCTATTTCTCAAACTTTTTACAGTGTGATTCGACTAAACATGCTTCAACATTTCTGTGAAGCTGGTACTCCTCTCTTTCTATCCAGCATGGTCTTATTTTTCTTTTTCAGATGACCTTGGTTCAGATGACCTTGGTTCAGATGACCTTGGTTCAGATGACCTATCCATCGACACCAGGATTCTAAAGATTGAATCTTTCTGAGTCTTTTTCAGATGACCTTGGTTCTGTTATGATGGTTTCTAGAGTTGTTTTGAATAAAAGAAGCAGAAATTCCACTTTGTTTTCTATGGGCTACATACCCCCTACAGTGTTGTAGTCAAGTCACCAATTCACGAGTCCAAGTCACTCTCGAGTCACCACTCTTCGAGTCCGAGTCCAAGTCCGAGTCACCCAAGGAGTGTCCGAGTCGAGTCCGAGTCAGAGTCATCATTACCTGTGTTCGAGTCCGAGTCCAAGTCCGAGTCACCCAAGGAGTGTCCGAGTCGAGTCCGAGTCCAAGTCATCGTGCGCGAGAATTCACGAGTCCAAGTCCGAGTCGCATCAATCAGTGCAAGAGTCCGAGTCGAGTCACGAGTCCCGAAAATCGGCACTCGAGTCCGAGTCCAGGACTCGAGTGCTCCATCTCTGCCCCCTACAGTGTTCTACTTTCTGGAGAGAGTGGTGATTTCTGGGATGTAGAGAACTTCATAAAGCTTAAAAAAAAGCTATATATTTCAGTATTCAAATGTGTATCAGGAACACAGGTCATGAACAGCTACAACATGCCATGCTTTCCACTTTTTCTGTTTACAAAGGGTTAACATAGTATTCAAATAATACAAATCTGTCAATAAAAGACAATTTCATAAAAGCGTAATATTCGTTAGGCATTATAGAAAAATGTATTAATTAAAATACAAATTCAAGAAAGGGAATAAGAAAATATGAATAATAATAAAATAAAATCATATTCCTTTAGATAATCAGGTAATGTAAGCATCCAATCAGAATATGTATATTTATAAGTAAAAACAGATGTGGCTCTCAGACGGTTAAAATAAGTTGATTTGACCTCAAATAAATTAACCGACGTGTTGATTGATTTATTGACTGTTTGTCTCCCACAGGAAGTGCCGGTACTGCGGTGACGTTCAACCGTAACGGCGACGCCCCCGGACGCTACGACCTGTTCCAGTATCAGTGGAGTAACGTCAGCGGGCCGGGATACCGTGTGATCGGGCAGTGGACCGAGTCCCTGCAGCTCAACGTGAGTTCATGTTCAATACTTGCTAACACAAAATAAAAATATGTATAAAAATATGTATAAAATGTGTATATCCCTATATATACACAATCAACAGACACATTTAGGGTGGAGGTGGCGAAGTCCATAGGGACTTTCATTTTTCATTTCATTGAATGGTTTATTTGAACCGGGACATTAATGAACATTTTAAACAAAATAATGCTTTCAAATGTAAATGAGACGGATTTTAGCTTTGAGCTAATTTCCAGCCGTAGTCTTGAACTGGTGACCTTCCACTTGGCTTGGCAACTGGAAGGTCACCAGTTCAAGTCCCGGAAAGACTAAGTGCTACCGAGGTGTCCCTGAGCAAGGCACCGTTCCCTACACTGCTCCCCGGGCGCCGTACATAATGGCAGCCCACTGCTCCGAACACGAGGATGGGTCACATGCAGAGAAACCGTTTCGTAGTACCTGTAATGACAATAGGTTGAATCTTCTTTATACATATGCACTAGGGCTGTCAGTCGATTCAAATAGTTAATCGCGATTAATCGCAAATTATTCGCACATTTTTTATCTGTTCTAAATGTACCTTAGAGGAATATTTTTCAAGTTTTTATTACTCTTATAAACGTATGAGTGGACAAATATGCTTTATGCAAATGTTTGTTTGTTATCATTTGAACAAGTACAAATATTCTCCTGAATATTCTCAACACAACAACCTGGAAC